GGTCGCTCCAGAATATTATCCCATATAGTGCTGAAAGGTATTCAAAGTACATTGTGACCACCACAGCAGTCTTGAATATACCTACAATTTTCAAGATCATGCAGGACCAGGCAGCACTTTGTTGTGTTATATATGGGGTCACCATGAGTCAGAGCCAAGTTGACAGCAACCAACAACAACATACATGTATCTAGAACACCAGTCCCCGTGGCTCAATTCCAGACCTGTTTGTTCAACTACCTGCCCAAGAGTGGAATGCCACACAGCTCTCAAACTCACCACACCTACTCTGAATACCATTCATATGCTTTCTGATTTCTCTTTAATGAAGACAGGTTCAGTCCCCAGTCACCTCTGAGATTCACTGACTCTTTCTTCTTCATTGCCAAATCCAACCATTCGAAAGCCATCTTGAATTGTTTCTTGTTCACACCCTCATTCTTCACCTGGACTGTTAGCAGTAGATCTTTTCTTATCCATCATCCACACTGGAAAGTTCTTTTTCTAAGGTCCAGATCCAAATAAAATGTCACATGTTTAAAATCCATTGCTTGCACTCTAGAAGAAAGTCTACATTTCTTAACTTGACATTTCTATCATCCAAAAAGCAAGAGTGAAAAGCCCACTTCCTCCAAGAAGCTATCCCTAATTGCTGCTCCCCTGTTTTGTGCTCATGTGGCACATTCCTCTTAAATCTAATTCAGGACTATCTGGGTTACTTTATGGCTAATTCATGCCTGTCTCTTCCGTTTGGTTATGAGTATGAAAACATTAATTGAACATTTTTCATCTTGGGTTTTTCAAATTGAATCACCAATAGGTCAGAGTTTATTTAATAAGTGTTGGTGGCTAATTGAAGAAGTCAGTTCTATAAAAACAAGGCAAATACCTATATTTCCTCCAGATAGCACTTTTATTACCCATCATCATCATTAGTACTTTACTTTTTTTATTGTCATTTCAGGCGTTTTCTCATTTTTGTTATTTATCACATTTTATTTCTATAACTATGTTAAAACAGGATTATAAATGTCATCCATAACTCAGAGAGCATTCTGAGTTTTATTTCGGGCTATAAATTGCTTTTTTCTCTTTGTTTTCCTTTTTCTTGGAGAAAATTACCTCCAAATGATACATCCACATTTTTGGAGAGCTTCTGGGTTGTTCTCTGTATGAGTGGAGGTGTTTAAGGATGTGAGAAATCTCCTGCCTTGGAGTGTCAGCTCCACTCGATGGCATCTAACAACAACAACAACTGTCACAATACCTCTCCCATCTTGAAACAGACAACTCCAGTTTTAGGGACCTAGCACAGTGTCATGGGCTGAACACTGAACTTGAGCACAGGGTTCCCAGCTCTGCCCCCTTGAGTTGTGAAACCTTTGGAAAGGATTTAACTTCCTTAGCAAAACAGGTATAGTAACCCTCAGTTGCCTGTTAAGCTCGCAAACCTGAAGGAAAATAGCTTTTAAAACTACCCAATGTTAAATAAATAAACGTTTTTAAAATACTCCCACTGTCTTCTCAGGTGGACAAGTGTGCCTGGGTATGCACTTTGTTGTTGCTGTTAGCTGCCACCAAGTCATTTCTGACTCATGGCAACCTTCTGTGTACAGAGTAGAACTGCCCCATATGTACTTACAGGGACCGAAAGTAAGAGTGATTTTAAATTAAGCAGAGTGGAAGTCCTCTATCCCCAGAAGCCCCTGTTTAAAAAATTATTTTAGTAAAATACATATAACATAAAATTTGTCATTTTAACCATTTGTAAGTACACTATTCAGTGGCATTAATCATGTTCTCAATCTTGTGCATTCCTCACCATTATCTATTTCCAAACCTTTCTCATCATCCCAAGCAGGGGCTCTGTACCCATTAAGCAGTAACTCTTCATCCCTCTCCTCCAGCCTTGGCAGAACTCCCTTTTTAATGGCCACTTGTCTACATTGCTCTCTTAAAGTTCTTTAAGGTAAGGAAGGTTAGATTCTGACCTTTAACTTCACCAATTAACATTCTCAGAAGCTCGTCAAATGTCCCAGTGTCAGAGTAATAATAAATGAAGAACTCTTAATTATAGCCACCTTTATTGAATGTCTGCTCTGTGCCCACCATGGTGATAAGTATTGTACTGTATTAGTCATTCAGCAAATGTCTATTGCACCTGCTGTGTGTCATCTGAGGAGGCGTTGGTAGTTCAGCGGTAGAACTCTCGCTTTCCAGGCAGGAGATCCAGGTTCAATTCTAGATCAATGTGCCTCGTGGTGTGACACCACCACCTGTCTGGCAGTGGAGCCTTTCACGCTGCTGTGATGCTAAACAGGTTCATGGCACTTCCAGACAAAGACTTGGAAGAAAGGCCTGATGACTTACTTCTGAAAATCAACCAGTGAAAACCCTGGATCACAGTGGTCCAATCCACAACCAGTCGTGGGCCACATAACTGGGCAGTGTTTCGTTCCATTTCTGTCAGGCACTGTACTTGGCCCTGGGAGTATGGCATGGAATCAAGCAGCTAAAAATCCCAGCCCTCATGAACTTATCTTCTGATGTGGAGACTGACGGACCCCTCGCCCCAAACCTGCAAGCTGAAATGATTATCCCTATTTTGACAAAAAAAAGAGCTGAAGTTTAGAGAAGTTAAGCCACCTGCCTGAGCCCTAATCCGGAGCCCAGCCCTATAATTACACTGGTATCACTGCCTGTGGGGAGAAATGAGGCCAAGATAGAATTCTTGGGGCTGGTGCCTCAGGCTGGTAATCAGTCACTCAGTAAATGGCAACAGTTATTATTAAGGTTCTTTCACAGAAATTTATTTTTGACACAGTGGTTGTAAGGGTAGTGTCAGTTCTCCAGATGCTTTTTGGATTTGTCTTCTTGAAAATAGAGACTACTGTTAACTAACCAGCAGAGCTTCCCAGACTTTTTTTTTTTTTTTTTTTCATCCTGACACACAAAGGAGGGAATAAAGAGAAAAAGGCTGCTAAGACAGCCTGCCTGGGGATTCTGCCTGCCCTGGGCCCTGCCTGGCTACCCTGCAGGTGGAGGAGTCAACCAATCAGAACTCTCCTAGCCCTCCCAGCCATGCTCGAGCACTGATGGATTGACTTTCCTGCTGCCTGCCTCCTGCTCCCAGCCCTAACCCTGTGTTCCTCATCTTGACTGACATCTCCCAGATCTTTGCTCGTTGAACTGGTTGCCTGGCCCTCTTGATTCTCCATCTTTCATCTCTGCCTCTCCATCTGCACTGCCGCACTTAGTTCATGCTGTCATCATTTCTTACCTCCTGCCAAGACACAGCATCCTGGGCCAAGAGAATCTTTGCAACCTCTAGGCTCCTGCTCCTTCTCCCCCGCTTCCCAGGCATATAGTGTGTGCTGGGCACTGTTCTAGGCTCTGGGAATATAGCAGTGAATGTTGTTGATGTCAGTCGTTGCCATTGAGTCAGTTGTGACTCAGGCTGACCCCTTGTGTCTGCTGGGTAGAACTGAGCTCTGTAGAGTTTTCAGAGCTGTGCCCTTTCAGAAGCAGATTGCCAGGCCTCTTCCAAGGCACCTCTGGTTGGGTTCAAACTGCCAGTCTTTGGGCCACAAGTCCAACACTTAGCCTTTTGTGCCACCCAGGGATTTGTTCCTGGTCATCTTTTGATCAACTCTTGTACACAGGGTCATGCATTTTGCACAGAGCCAAGGGTTGGTTTATGCTTCCAGATATTAACAGCTTAAGTCCACTTGGTTCTTCTCATTTTACAAGTGGAGAAACTTTGGTCTAACAAGGTAAAGTAACTTGTTCAAAAAACACGTCTAATATACAGAATCAAGATTTCAAACCTGGACTGTGCAAATAACTCACCTCAACTGGCTCCCTTAAAAAGGAAACTAAGTCACACTCTTGCAAGTTCAAGAAAGGATGACTTCTATAGAGTTTCCACGTGTGTAAGGCAGTGATAATTTCATAGCCAAATCTGGCTACCTCTTTCTTGTTGGTCCCTTTGCCTCTTACCTATATCAATGCTTAACTGATTGGAGCATTTTTGAAATTAAACTCTCTCAGACCCAAACAGTTGCCACATTTATAACCTGTAGTAAATTTGCAGCGTTGTAAAACTGAATGAGTTTTCTCTTCTTTATTTTGTACACCTTAATTACTGGAGAAGGAGTACATTAAAACTGAGATCACGGGTTAATTAATTTGTCCTGGATTGTAGAATTTTATGGACAACCAGAACTAGACTAATGGTTGTGTAGGTGCAATTGACTAAACATAGCTTATAAATGTTACAGAAATTCCCATAATTAGTCCCACCACAGCTATTTAGCCTGGAAATTTTATAGCAGACATAAATTATGAAGGTAAAAAGTAAGAAAATTTTTAAGTTGACACAGTGGCATTTGTGGAAGCTATAATTTGAGGAAAGATGTTTTGCATTATTATTCATTTATTTTTTTTTCCAGTTTCCAGAATTCCCCCTTTTAAAAATTTTTATGTTATTTTCAGTGTAATGCAATGGCTATCAGGTGTTAAGGGTGTTAAATCCCAGTAATGCTTTGTGAAAACAGGCCACCAGTATCATCTCTCGAAATATTTAACTGCCAACCAAAGGATGAAGAGATCTGTTTGATCACACTCTTCAAAGTCATTTTTGCATATTTTAATGAATTGAAAAGGAAAGTTACAGGTTATATTTAAATAGTGTTCCCTGTCATTGGATCTTGACACATTTTAACCTACCTGTTAAAATGCAAGTTATAAATAGTTCCTCTTTCAAAGGTGTTCATTATACTTCATTGGTTCTTGTTACAGAAAATGCAAATGTAATTTGAAAAGTGCCCATTCTGAGTGTGAGCAATTACTTGTGTTCTTCAATACCTGGTTCACTGTCAGCATCACCACTTGGTTAAAAAGAGTGTTTGCCTTTGAAATGGAGATCACCATTTCTGGCTGCTGGCTGCTGGCTGCTGGCTGGCTAAGTAGGTAATGAGAAAACCTTTCTCTTTTTCCAGGGAAGCAAGCAGCTGTTGAACAACTATCCTGTCTACATAACGAGCAAACAGTGGGACGAGGCTGTAAACTCTTCAAAGAAAGATGGGAGACGGCTCCTTCGATACCTCATCAGATTTGTTTTCACGACCGATGAGCTTAAGTACTCATGCGGCCTTGGGAAAAGGAAAAGGTCAGTGCAGTCAGGAGAGACAGGTCCTGAAAGACGCCCTCTGGATCCAGTTAAAGTAACATGCCTTCGAGGTACTGCATCCTTCCACTCAGTGTCCGCCATCTGTGATCTCATTTCACCGCATGGGCTGTGGCTCCCCGCGTACAAGTGTTCAACCTTACTGTATTTTGGTTTGTTTTTCTGCTGCAATCGTATAGGCTTCATGTGGCCCATTTACTTGGTATTGAGAAGTTCTTTAAGAATTCTCCATTTGCTTGAGCCTTTGGTGTTCTCACTTAATGGTACATAGCATTGCATAGCACCTCATGCTTCACACTTTAAATTCAGATTTTCGTTGCTACCAGAGAAGGCCTCCTCTAGCAAAAGTAGAATAGCAGGGGATGCACAAAACAAGAGTAGACATGGAATTTAAAATATATATCTATTATTTAAGGAGCCCTAGTGGTGCAGTGGTTTAAGTGACCTGCTGCTCACCGGAAGGATGATTAACCCACCAACCACTAACCCACCAGCCGCTCCACAGAAGAAAGATGTGGCAGTCTGTTTTTGTAAAGATTTACAGCTTTGGAAACACTATGGGACTGTTCTACACTGTCCTGTAGGGTTGCAATGAGTTGCAATCAACTCTACAGTTAACAGTATGTTTTTGATCAAATGATATCCCATTTCCTGTTCCAGCCTACGCTCCCTTTTAGCTACCTTCTCAAGAATACTTCTTCACAGCTCTTTAAATTTCCTTAGAATTCATTTTCCTTAGTGCTTAAACTATACCTTGCCCAGTCAATCTTTCTTCTATTACTTAATTTCTATATAAAAATACTGTTTAGATAATACTGCTTCATCAATGGTAACAAGTGGCTACGCTGTAGCTAATCTTACTGTTGTAGGTCAGACAGGATGGAGAGGAAGAATCAAATAGATAGCCAATCAGATAGCCAATTGATTCGGCAGGTCCAAAAAACAACAATTTAAGTAGAAACATTGGCGTGTCATCAAAAACACCATCCACACCTGAAAAAACCATATCAGAAAGCTCAAATATTAACCTCTCTGGTTCAATAGCAATTTTATATTAGTTGCCAAGACTTAATATTGATTTGCTCTGGATAGGGATCAAAATGTTTCCTAGAAGAGAAGTCACAAATGAAAAATATGATCACAGAAATATCCTTGGTTATCAGAAAGGAGAGAGATCCTGACTTAATCATATACCGTCCAGGGATGTCCACGGTGATCCTCAAACATTTGTGTGTCTAAGACACACATGTAGTATTTGTTAACAGCCTAAATTCCCTGGGCCTATTCCCAGATAGTCCAGATACTCTGATTCAGAAAGTCGAAGATGGGGCCCGTGTATTGATGCTTTTCTACAAGCACCCCAGGTAATTCTGATGCAGGTGGCGCATCTTGAGAAAACCAGCTGAAATGATTGTAAACTAGGCACAGGTGCTCCAGAGTACTAGGTCCTGGCCAATTCCCATTTCCTCATAGAGACTGACAGAAATTTTCAGAGTCTGTCTTAGCAAACCAGTCATGGTTTCCTTTATCTGTCAATATCATCAATGATGATGGACTAACTCACCAAGAGGCAGTGGAGAACTTGGGGACTTCACTGAGGACACTCACTGTGTGTACTCAAGGAAGTTGTCCTTAGATTCAAAAGGAAGTTAAGGAGTCCCACAACTTTATGCCTTTCTAGAAATTATTAATAACCGTTTTACATTTTAACTAGCAAGGCCGTGAAACAGTGATTAAAGTACATCCCAAAGCACCAGTGCTGCTGTTCTAAGAACCTAACTGGACCCAACATCACACAGGTGCAGTTCAAGCTGCCTAACCAGTGAAGACTACATTCTGTAGTTGATTTCTCACTTGATGGCCACAATCTACAAGCTTCCACCCTTGGGGTGGAGAATACCTAGGCTAGAAATGGTTATTGTCTGAGTTGTGGGGCAGCTGGTTAGAGCATTGAAATAGTTTATCCCAACTGCTAAAATCCTTGGGCCTTCCTGCAAACTAGATGTGATTTAGGTGATAGGGCAGCCTGGTTGTCCAGCCCGATGACTCCCAGGTAGACGTTCTTGCTGTGGTAAGCAAGATTAGAAAGGACAAGGAAGCCCTCAGGCTTTGGACACTCTAGTGATGGAAATCAGGGTGCTGTGGCGAATGCAATCAAATTCCAGGCTGTGACTGCTCTCCAAAGTGGTCTGACCCTGGAGGAAAGAGGAAGTATCTTTCATCTCCTTGGTGGGCCTGTGAAGATGCTTCATATTTCTATAACAAAATGAGCTCTACCTTTAGCTCTCAATACTCTTAGCTATAGTACTAGCAGCCACTCCTCAGAAGGAAGATGGGGCAATCTATTTCCGCAGTGATACTGCCTCAGAAACCCAAGGAGGGGTCACTATGAGTCAGGTCCAACTCGATGGCACATAACAACAACAAGAACAACACAGTACGAGCAAAAGTCCTGTCATGATAGTGGATGAGGGAGGAGGCAGGAGAGGCAGGTCACAGAACAGCCCATTCTGACAGAATTGCAGTGTTACAGCTGACTTTTGCCAAATGGACACACTTGCATTCATTTATTAACCATTATAGACTCTCGTTGATCATTTTAGTCTTTTGTACTCGTGAGTTCATGAATGTGGGGGAATTTGGACAGAGATAGGAAAGTTACTTAAGAAATCACTACTGAAAACTTAGTGCGTAGAGTAGGGGCTTGAGGAAGACATAAAAAGAATAGGAAACAGTATTCTTTCTTCTGGAGTTAATAGTCTGGCCAGAGATAACTTGAGGAAAATGAGTGGAAGTAGGCTAAACAGATTAGATTCAAAGATTCCAAAATAGCTCCTTTCAGTCTGCACTGGATTAAGTGACCATCACCTAAGTTTGACAAGTATCATCTAGTGTTTCTCAGATGTGAACCCCAGTATTATCTCCCTGAGTCCTGGCAATTTTGTAGGATGAAGAGCTGGATAAACATCGTTCTTTGCCCAAGGAAGTTAACCAGGGTCGGGTGCAAAATATAAGGGAAATGCCGAAAAACTCAGTAACGCCCATGCTAATTCTCTGTGAAACCAAACTCTACTGAGATGTGCACAAATTAGTTCACGAGGGCTTTTTTCTAGTTTAAATACCTAAGTACTACTTAAAATGTCACCTTCTTCATTTGGTAAATAGGGCCAGGCATTTCAAAGTTTCAAACAATTCAAATCCAACAAGCAGAACTATTACATTGTATTGAAGAGGGAGTAGTCCTAGAGAAGGACAGGTGTGTAAGTTAGAGTCCCCGGAAGTTTTAATCAGCTGTGCAAAAATGATTTGATTTATAAGTTTTTCCAAATGCTTGCCTCAGTTGGCAAGTGTTCATATTAAAATAGCTATTTTAGAATTATCTATGTGTCCTGCCCCCTTTAGAAAACAGAGTTAGGGTTAATTTGCTCTCAGTTGGAGGCCAGCTTTGTTCCATTGGAGTCAGACATATATACATATGCATGATACACACACTCATACCTGCACACACATGCCTTTATACTTTTTTATATATTGAGTCATCCTGGCATGCTAATTGCTTTTCTAGTGAAATGAAATATTTAAAGGAAATCTCATTTTAAAAATGTTTGTCAGTATATGTACAGATACCACAGTTAGAAAAATAAGCCTGCAACATTTAAGAATGTGGAAATCTTTTCTGAACTAAAACATAGGTACCTTCTCCCTCAATGAGACTGTGGCTTTTTTGTACTCAATCTTCAAGTTAGTAGCTGGTTAAAGAATATCACACTAATGATATTTTGTTTGCTTCTGGAGATAGTTAACATGCTAAAACTGTGAACAGGTAACATGGGTTCAAAACATGAAATATACTCCATAATTTACATCAAGCGTGGTACATACCATGTGTTAGAAATCAAACTTACCTTTCATTTCAACAGCAAATGTTTCTTAGACGGATTGCACCCTTACTTAGGGGATTTTTACTTGGCACATAAGAAGAGCATTTATATGGAATTAAGTTAGGGCTAACGAGTAACATCATCGTGGCATTACATTGGATTTCCCATAAAGCTTTTCTTTAAAGTTTTTAACTGTAAGCAGCCTCTCCTATTACCTTCTACAAAAACCAGCTGTTTCTTTCTCTCTCCCTTTTTTTATTGTTGCATATATTCCCACAGAATTCATTAGGATGCACTGTACCTCCAACCCTGATTGGTGGATGCCCTCGGAGGAGCAAATAAATAAAGTGTTCAGCGATGCTGTGGGTCACGCCCGGCAGGGGCGGGCAGTGGGAACATTTCTGCACAACGGTGGCTCGTTTTATGAAGGGATCGATCATCAGGCTTCGCAGGATGAAGTCTTCAATAAAAGTTCCCAGGATGGATCTGGGGATTAGTGGACAAAATCCTTCCTCCTGTAGCAGCCAATCCTTTCAAGAGTTCCAATTGTGAATGTCCTGTTAACATCCCATTAGAGTCCAAAGCATGTCATTCTGTCATACTTTAGACATCCTAAACCTTAACTCTCTGGACCTACTACCACAGTTCCCAAATAGAAATCCATTTTAGGGTTGTTTGGGAAGTCTGTGGAGCCTACAATAGACTTTCAAAATACTATATTATAAAAAGCAAAAACTACAATTTATTTTAAATACATAATAGTCAGACAATGAGGATAGGAAAAGAGGTGAGCTCCTAGTTACCTGTCCAAAATCTTCAAATGAGTTCAGCTTCCTGAACAAAGCTGGTTTCCAAGGAAGGATGGGTTAGTGTTCCTGTCAATGGGAGAAGGTAGAAAAATGCAGTTATTTTAAGGGACAAGGCACAAGCATTCTTTTGTTTTAATTCAAAGAAGTTGTTTTTCTGTTTTCCATAGATTTTGATTGATAGTTCTCAGCTAAGGCATAGGTTAGGTGACATAGTATGCTGCCTCTATATTGGTTAAGCCAGTTAGGAGCCCTGGTGGTGCAATGGGTAAGGGCTCAGCTGCTATCTGAATGGTTGGCAGTTAAGCCCATCCAGGGGCTCCGTGAGAGAAAGACTTGGCAATCTGCTCTTGTCAAGGTTAAAGCCTAAAAAACCCTGTGGGGCAGTTCTCCTCTGTCACATGGGTTTGCTATGAGTCAAAATCAACTTGACAGCATCTAATAATATTACTGAAAAAGAAACCAGAGAACAGAGGCCACCTCTACAGACAATTTTAAAAGTCAACTTTTTCTCAGCTATTTTTACAAAACGTTCCGCTGTGTTAATCAAATGCACTGTGGTCTCTGGAGTTCACAGTGATATAGTTTCACTTTGTCATTCAGGAAACATCCAAAGTTCCAAAAACACTTCCAAATGCTTGATTTTGTAGGTTTATGTACCCACAGTTTCCATAATCTTAAATCAGGCTTTGTTGACAAAATTCCAAAGTTACTGAACAATGAGATACTCAGCCACTTAGTTGTTTGGTTCACAGAAGACAAAACAACTGGAGTGACGATGGCATCCACTGAATTGACCAGATGTTCTGGTGTCATATACACAGTTTCAAGGCCATTCTGAACACTATGCAATGGGCTTGTCTGTAAATTCTCTGAGACTTGAGGGGCTTTCTGGCCTGAGTTGATCTTCAGAGTTTGCATAAAACTTTTGTTTGTGCTGATGTCATTGATGAAAATGTTTTATCCCACCTGATGTGTGCTTTCTTCCCCCCAATGATCCCCTGAAATATAAGGTCCTAAATTAATGCTGTACCTTTCACACCCTCTTCCCTCTCTTTTCACTTGAAGACCTCCATATGTGAAATTAGGATGTCTTTGGACCATTTCTTCAAAATGACTGCTCTAGAGATGCTAACATTCATGACAGCTTCAGGTTTGGATGTCAGGAAAGGCTTCCTTTATCTAACTAATCCAGATTACTACATTCTTTGTAGAGCCAAGGACTAAATGGGCGGTGTTTATTGAAAGCTATTAAGTGTCCTCTACAAATATGACCAAGGGTTTTGAAAATTGCTTGGAAAGTCATTTAAAGTTTTTGAGCATCTATTTATAAGGTGGTATTTTTTTTTTTTTTTACTTTTTTTTTTTTCTGTCCAAATTATCCCTTCCATTCAACAATTAGCTAGTACCTATTATAAGCAAAGCCTTAGAAACAGGGCCTTCTATAGTGTGTTAGACTGGGTTCTCTAGAGAAACAAAATCAGTAAAGCTTATATATATGTATATATAGAGAAATTTATATTAGGAAAATGGCTCACACACTTATAGAAGCTAGCAAGTCCAAAGTTCCTGGATCAAACGTCAAGCTGGAGGCTTTTCCTGACTCTTGCAGTTGCAGGGGCTGAGGAGCTCAAGGCTGGCAGGCAGTATACCGGCTGTTGACTCCAATGAATGACGAATCCAAGATCTCCAGGCCAAATGGTGGATTGTTCACTCACTGATAGTTGTAGGCAGCACAACAAAATCCCAATCCACAGAAGAATGTCTCCTCTCCCAGGATGTCCACAGATATACTGGAAGCAGGCCACACCCCTAGGGAAATTCCCTTTCAACAGATTGGCTGCTCAGAACATAATCATCTGATCCCATCGTGGGAATAACCACATAGCAACAGCTTAAACCACACAGAATTGTGGTCCAGCCAAGTTGATGCACAGCTCCAACTATCACATATAGCATTTTCTATGATTCCTAATTTTCAGCTACTGAAAAGCTTGATATTTATGGAGCTGGCCATTTGTCAGATCTGTTCAAGGGTGTAGGGAAAACTATTTCAATCCTCTTTTGGGCAAATTAGCTAAAATTTGGGAACAAAAGAAATTGTATACCCAAATGTGATACTGTTTATGGGAACCACAAGGCTAATAACTTCAACTATCCGAGAAAGGAAGATGTTTCTTATCTTGAAGAGTTGTCAGAACTCTGAGAAGTCAGTGTCTTATGAAATTCTTCAGCAACATGAACTCTTGGCCAGAAGAAAAGCACCACCTCATTTGACCTTTCCTTTGTTTGCACTGGGCTTTAATGATTCTTACTGCTTAGGGTAATGTCCTTTTTCCCACAGCAGAAATATTTGGCCACTGCTTTAAACAACAATAACAAAAAAAATCTTTGAGCATTTACTGTTTTCCTGCGAGCTTGAGAATTCCTTTCCCATCCCATTCTAGGGATATCTTTGAGTCCTGTGTTGTAGTGGTCTTCAGTAAAGGTGATGAGAGCACCTCCTGCATGCACATTTCCTTAGTCTTGTACAACCATAATTAAGGATGAAGTCCTTCCACCACTGCTGTGTGGGAGGGTGACAGGAACCTTCTGTTTAGCTCAAGACAGCTGCTGTGGTAGGCTCTGCCTCCCAAGCTGCATGTTTACACACTATGTTTGGTCCAAAGGCACATTTGGTCTCTGTAGCCCAACACTAAAGTTCCAAAATATCAGTATTACATGTTGGCTATCTCTTTTGCACATGAGGAAAGCAAGGCCCAGAAAGATGAACTAACTTACTCAGTATCACAACTAGTTTTAATACCTCTCCTGGGCCATCCCTTGTTTCCGGTAAGATGTATTTGTTCCATTATACTTTTCACTTTCTGTGTAATTACCATATTCTTCTAGCCTAGTCTACCACCTGACCCAGGCACTAACAGCTGCTTAGGTTATAACACAGAATCTGCTTAGATATTTTACTGTCACGTCTCCTTAGTCCATATCCTGGGCTGCCATTTGAGGTTTGTCTTTAAGGCTGGTGTTGTACCTGGGTTCCATGGTGGTTGCCTGCATAGTCACTTGATTTTTAAATCATGGCATAGGGAGGTTGTTTGTTTATCTTTTGGGTAAGACCATTGTGACCTCTATGTAAAATCAATTGCCATCAAGTTGACACCAACGCGTGTTCACCCCATGCATGTCGGAGTAGAACTGTGCTCCATCGAGTTTCAGTGCCGAGAGTTTGGAAGAGGATCACCAGACTCTTCTTCCAAGTTGCCTTTGGGTGAACTCCAACCTCCAGTCTTTCGGTTAGCAGCTGAGTATGCTAATGTTTGCACCATCCAGGGACCCCATTGACTTCTCATCACTTCTACATCACTCATAATGGATACTATCATTGCTCTGTCAGTTGATCTCTTTGGAGACCTGAAGATGTCGCTTATTGATTTGCTTTTTTTTTTTTTTCTTTTCTTTTTAACATCTTTGTCTATCAATTGGACCAATTACTGTCCTGACAAGAAATTTGGTCTCATGTCAGCTCTTGGAATCCTCCTTCAGACATTGAATATTGGCATGAAATAGACTGAATTAAAACTGAGTTCAGGATGAAGCTGTGTTTCACTTCACTGGTGAGAGAAGGAAGTCATAGGGCTGACCTGACACCAAAGACCAACTTGACATTTTTGTCCATGACTAGGTGTGGTCCACAAGCCAGGCTATCAGAAGAGTCTCCACCTTCCAACAGTGGCAATGTCTTGATGTGTCTCGTGTTTTCCCAAATGTAAGATCATGTCACAAAGATCATGCCTGTTTTTCACAGTGAACTGAAGCCTCAGGTGCAATTTTGGCCAGGCTCAGGATAACTGTTCAGTGATCTGCACGGGAGGGCTCTGGCTAGGAACTGGCTGACGTGACCAATATCCTGCAAGTAGTTACTAAACTCACATTTCTCACCATCTCTTTTGAAAGTGCATTGTTCAAAATCCCACAGTTTAACCTCAGCATAGTTTAAATGCTTTGGAGGAAAATTCAACACTTAAGTTTGTACCTTCTTTTACTTGAAAATTTTCATCAGGCTTCTGAACTCAGGCTTGGCTCTCTTGGTGGTCTTCATTTCTGCCACAGTGTTTAGGTTACTGTCACCATTTGTATTGTTTAAGGCTTCACTAGAAACCACCTTGCAGCATCTGCAGAAAATGACTCTCATCTCCTTTGGTAGGTGAACTACAAGATACATGTAGGTGTTTCAAAGCTGTAGAGCAAGTGGGTGATTTATATTTGGATCGTTTCTTATCCCTTCCTCAGTCATAAACACACTAACATAACATATTAGATTCCTTCCTCAGGATTATAAGGAGATATGTTATTTGAATGTATTATTTCATCCAACCAGTCTATGTACCATCAACTGATGGTAACTGATGTTAACAAAATGGTTTTCTAAGTCCATGAACTGTTCCTGAAATATCAGATGTTTCCCCTTAATCAAGACAATAACCCATACTTGGCAATCTAAAGGCTCACTGTTGCTACCTATCCATGCTACCTTTAATGGCTTGTGCCTCCCTGCTTGTAATAACAGAAAGTACTTACCTTATGGATCATGTAAGATGAAGCATGCACTGTTTTCAGAAAAGCAAACATATATTGCCCTCATTCAGAGTCTATCTCATTCTACTTATTCTCTAAAAGCTAAACTGAATACT